GGATATTGAATGTTGGGATAAAGAATTAAAATTGATCTTATCTGAAATTGGAAGTCATCTTTATTTTAACATGAGTAACAATATCATATACTTAACAAATAATTATTGAACTATCTCTACATCCATGATGAGTACTGGGGGCCCAGTGATGAAAAGACAGACACAATCACTATTCTCATGGAGTAGACATTATTGTAGTGGTAGGAATCCAAGTGTGTTTGAATGCCACTGAAGCATTTTAGTAAGAGACCAGCAGGAATTAATTCTCCTGTGAATAAGATTCTTTGCTTCTCTATGGACACAGTCATTCACATAGATTTGTTGTGTTGAGAAACAAAACAATAACTAAACAAGCAAGTAATTATGAATTATAATAATTATCATGAAGGAAATTACTGGGATGTTGAGGTAGAAAATAACTTGGAGCAGAAGGGGAATGGTAGCACTGCCTAACGAGGTGATATATGAGCTGAAATCTAGAGAATAAGAACACATTAGCCATGTAACCTGAAGAGATGTGCTGTCCATAGAGAGCAGCTAGGCAGATGGGAAGTTGTGCAAAGGCCATAAGGAAGAAAAGCTAATTGAAAGTTGAAGAAAAAGAAAAACAATACTAAATGACTGTAGGTAATGAAGGAGAGGAATACTGGCTCAAAATGAATGTGAAAGAATCAGCAAGGGCCAGATCATGCCAAATTTATGGTCATGGTAGGATTCTAAGTGTGTTTGTATATCACTGAAGAGTTTTAAGAAAGGGACAGACAAGACTTCAATTCTCATGTTAATAAGATCTCTTTATTTTGTGGAGCATGGCATGGATGGGGTAAGAATGGAAGGAATAAAAGTTAAGTCAATGTCAGGCACAGGGTGATAGTGGCCTAGGGTAGGTTAATGGTAATGCAGGGCTTGAAGCACATTTTCCAAAACAAGTGCATCTATCAGATACAGGAACGTTATTCCTTAACAGCCCATTGAAGTTTCCGTTTAAATGTCTGCTCTTATAGATATGTGACCTAACATTTAGTACACATGACTGGAATTTTAATCATTTTTGTAATTCCATGCACCAGCCCAGTGAGTATGTCGAGGAACTCTGTAGTTTAGACAGGTTGGGTGCAAGTCTTGCTTCTCCATTAGCTGCGTAATCTTGGGTATATTACCTGGACTATGTTGGCTGTACTATCTTCTAATTAGGATAATAATTGAATCTATATGATAGATCTTTTATGAGGAATTAATGGAATAATATATGTGTTTTACAAAGTGATTGTTACTCAGTAAGAGATTAGTAAATGTTAGTTAAGGCCTAATGGTATATGTTCATAGTAGGAAAATAAACCAAAACACGAACAAATAGTATTTGTGAATAAAATAATTATATATGAATTTCTTCTGAGATAATCAGGGTAGTTCATAAATAATTTTCCTTTAACAAAGTATGTGTCATTGTGCATGGCCCCAAATTGCTTTTTTATCCCACCCTGAGGAAAAATCTAGGCTGATTACAGTTCATATGAAAGGGGACAGCATAACAATTTTCAAACCCAAATCTCAAATTTTTCTGAGATGCCATATCCATTATAAAGTTTTGAGAGTTAATTTAATCATATTTTTCTTGTTCTGATAAAATATTAGTTTTATTTCTGGAAAACCTGGAGAAGAGAGTAGTAGTACATCCTACCTGTCAGCAGCACATTCCCTGTGGTATAGATAGGGAAGAAGTCTTTGCCCTATATTTGCAGTGAATTCTTCCTAATCACATCGTAGATTGGTCTCTCTCCTCTCATCAGGGCTGAAGAGAAGGCAACAGAATCTTTACCACTAAACAGAAAAGGCAGAACTTCCATTTTATTGGTTGACTTTAAAACTCATAATAACAACTAGGGCAAAATGAGTAGAAATCTTCTTACATGGTGCTCCAGGAAGGGACTAGGAACTGAGCTATATCAAATGGGGTTATTATTAAGACAAGTCATAATCAACAAACCCCAGAAATTAGTATTGGAAGAATAATAATTTGTGTCCACAGCTCCTGTAATATAGCAAATGGCCAAATCAGAAGACACTGCATGGGTTCAGGAAAAATAAACTGGTTGAGATAAGGCCCGGGGCTTAGACCTCACGATGGGGAGGTTAGGAGGAGAGAAAGAAGTCTGAGCTTATTCTTCTTGTGCTGGTTGAATGTCTTAGGGGCAAGTTAGCTGGTTGAAAAGTATATAACTCAGCTTATCTTTTTCTTTTAAACGCTCCTATCCACTCCTTTTCTCTTGGAATTTGTCTCCTTAAAGACTAGTTGGAGTTGGCCATATTCTCCCTAACTATCACTTTCTTTGTTATCCTCCACCCCCAAAAAACACATAATTCAAAACTTCTTTCATTTATTCATTTAACAAATGTTTATTGAGTACTTGCTATGTGACTGGTACTGTTCTAAATTCTGATGGTAGAACAATGAACAATAAACAAAAGTCCTTACCTCAATCAAAATTACATTAGAGAAAGAGGACAGAGAATTAACAAGGCAAATATTTAAATATATGATATGATAGATGAGAGCTAAAAATTAACTAAAAGGGAGGGGTACACAGCATTTGTGTGTGATTAGTAGTGGTTGGAAATTTAGCTAGGGTGTTTTGAAAGATCTCAGTAAGAAGAAGATATTTGTGTCAAAACTTGAAAGAGCACAGAGGGCAAGGACAATCAAGGCAGAGGGAACAGTAGGTGCAAAGACCCTTCAGAGAGAGTGTGCCTGATGTGTCCAGCCCAAATGGCTGGGTGTCTTAGTTCAGGCTGCCATAACAAAATACCATAGACTAGGTGGCTTATAAACAACATAACCTTATTTCTTACAGTTCTGGAGGCTGGGAAGTCCAAAATCAAGATGCAGTCGGATTCAGTGTCTGGTGAGGGCCTGCTTCCTGCTTCGTAGACAGAGCCCTCTCTCTGTGTCCTGACATGGTGCAAGGGGTAAATGGGCTGTCTGGGACCTCTTTTATAAGGATACTAATTCGATTCCGGAGAGTTCTGCCCTCATAACCTAATAACCTCCCAAAAGGCCCCACATCTTAATGCCATCACCTTGGGGGCTTAGGATTTCAACATACAGATTTTGGGGGACATAGACATTCAGTCCATTACATTGGGGCAGAGTGAGGGGAGAGGTACCAGGAGAAATGTCAGAGAGGAGGGAATATTCCATAAAGCTTTGTAGACAGACAAAAAATTTTGGCTTTAACTTAAAAATCATTTGAATATATCATTCCTGATTCCCACAGGGAAACAAAAGAACAAAACAAAACAACAGTAAAAACAGCAAATTTTCCAAAATCATTTCTAAATCATCATTCTTTTTGTCTGTCTTCTGACACTTATAAGGTTTCCTCTTGTCCTCCTTTTCCTTACTTATGGTATATACAGTTGGAATATATCAATAAATGTGACTTCATGCCTGTGTAGGCATTCATGGCTCAAATGGAAAATTTACACTACTGAAGCCCCTTGGATTAAGTGATTCTACTGAGTGTCCTGTGTAAAGGTTTTTCCTTACAATACATATTTTATTTTGTGGGCTGGAAGCTGAAGCTTGAATTTCCTTGTTGTTCCCATCTCAGTTTGTAGCCTCCTTCTGCCAGGCCTCTGACTGTGTTAGATAGTAAATAGATTCAGTTGATATTTTCTTCAAGGTAGTGTGTTCTGATTAGTATACTTCAAGTGGTAATTACATATTGATCTTCTGTCTGAAATTTTTTAATAGGCATAAGCTCTTTGCCAAGGCATAATCTTTTCACAAGACCTTCATGCTAATTAAGGGCAGTCCAGGTTTAAATGCCATATCCCTATGAACTCTACCTAGCAGGGGGATCAGATGCAAAAAGCAGCTGTTCACAACAGCAGCATTTCCAACAATTTATGAGAACTTTAATTTATGGGATTTTATTTTAAAAATTGCATTGTGTGTAGAGACTGTAAAGTCTGTTTCCAATATCCCAGTGGAAACATACAGTCACTGAGGTTTGAAATATCTTAATCTCAAAGAATCATAAAATGCCTATTGCACAGGGACTGCATGAAACAACACGGAGTTTAGTTTCTGATATAGTGAAAGTCATAATACTGAATTCAATAGAAAGTTTGAAAAAGAACATAGCAATTTTATGTTCTAGTTTCTAGAACACCAAGCTTGATGGAAAATCTAAGGTAATGCAGTCACAATTAAAATATAGGTAATATTTTCCAGAGGAAAATAAATTTTTAAAGGAGCTTTAATTTGGGGATGTGGATTATAACTTGGGAAAACTAAACCATATTTTATATAGAATTCACCAAATAGGAATTTTATATTAATGTAATGCTTTTGGTAGAACATAGGATATAGTAAAAAACTTGACATTCTTTCCTTACTTTATTTTTAATCATAACTACATCAGAATGGTATTGAACTGGAAGCAAATGAAATTCTGTGTCTGATGGTAAATCCAATATAATTACCCATTGTGCGGGTACAGAACTCCCCAATTTATAAGCTCTTAATATTGTATCCTCATATTTAAAAATGGAAAATATGAGTAAATACATCAAAATATGTTCAGAGGATTAATTAAGCTAATGCATTTAAGGTACCTAGAAAAGTGTCTAGTAAATATGTTAAGGTCTCAATAGATATTGCCATCTATTATGGTTATAGTGTTCATTTTGTAGATCATTGATTTTCTAATATTTAATGGCTCAGAGAAAGGGATTATGTATAACATTTCACTGGCAGGTAATATTTTATCATGTCTAATCCAGAGGTTTTCAGACCTGGATCAAAATTTAAAACATTTAGGGGAACTGTTAAAACACATTGATGTTTGGTCACATCTAGATTATATGAAACAGAATCCTGGAGTAAAGGCTGAGGTTCTGCATTTTTTAAGAGGTCTTCTGAGGCAGGAAGGATTGAGAATCATTAGTCTAACATACCTTGTTCTTACTTCTGATTGAGCTCATTTTTTTTCCAGGTCTGTCATCAATGAATGTTGTGAGTAGCTTACCAACTTTTGTCACATTCCTGTACACATGTTTAAAGTCTACTATAGTGGGTTGTAATAGCTCTCAGTGGCCCATGTATTCTTAATTCAATTCATTGTAAAATTTGAGAGCTGCTAGCGAATGGTGAGATTATTTTGCAAATGTTTTCATTTGACAAATGAAGACCATGAGGCTAAGAGAAATGAGATGACTTTACTATGGCCTCTGGTGAGTTGGCTATATTATTGTGACCTCAAGAACATGCATTCCTGTCTTCACTGCCCAGTGTTCTTTCCGCTGTGCTACATAACCTGAATTTGCTTATCATTTCCCAAATGTTCTCTTTTCTAATCCTTTTCAAAATTCAGCATCTGTGCCAAACTTTAGATGAATAGTACAGTTAGAGAATTGCCATGCAGTTTCTCTAATCCATGCAGTATATTTGCTTTCTTATCAATCTTGCTGATTCAGACTACAATCTGGAGTGATCGTTAAATTTTTCTCTGCTGGGTTAGCATTTTTACCCTTTAGTCCTCATTTTGTGCATAGTTTCTCCTTTCCACTTAAAAAAATGTAATATTTCACAGTATACCTTGCTATTTTTAATACATTTCTTTATACTTGTGACCTCAAACTGTCATTTGTCATAATCAATAATTTCTGTATTTCCTGTGCTAACTGGTAAAAGTCAATTTATATTTTCTGAAGTCCAATTTTGTGTACTCATATTACCTGAAATGTATGAAGTTTTCACTTCTTATTCAAATCAGTGGTGTTCCTACAAACCAAACCTGATTTTAATAAAAATCTCTACCCACCATGGACTCTGACATCCACAAGAGATTTAACGTCTTTTATAATTTAAATTCCCTGAATTTCTTTATTCAAAATTAATTTTATATTGTTTCTCACCATATTTTTATAATTTTGATAATATAATATAAGTTTCCTCTAGTGATCAAAATGGTACCTAAAAATCCTATGTTTATTAAATCAAAGATACCAGAAGCTACCTTATCCTGGTAGACCTAGTTCTACATCTATTTCAATGAAATTAATTAAAATACTCATAACTTTTTTATTGAAATATTTTCAAAACTTATATTTAAGTCAAAAGAACCTAACATGTTAACATGATAAAATTGAGTGTGAGGGACAACAGATATTTGTGGTTAAATAAAATACTACTAAAGAAATTAAAAATGATATTCAAGAAATATTGTTTACTTGTGTTTTATTTTTTCTTCTGTTCAGACTACACATTGACCTTTTTATTCAGAAAAGTGAATGTCAAATGAATTTATTAATACTGAGAGAAAATAGGACATTAATTCAAAAGTCAAGTAGGAGTAAATATATGTGTGTTAAAAAAGCATTAGCATAAAAACATTTTGACACTGAAAGAGGAAGAATTGCATGATTTTATTGATTTTATTTCTTTAACTTTTTTATTACACATCAAAGTATAGAATATACTCAGAATATATACTATACTCTATATACTTTTTTAATGCGCAAATCATGAGTATAAAGCTTGATGGATTGTTACAAAGTGAACACACTTGTGCACCAAGTCCCCAGATCAAAAAATAAAAGGGTATCAGCAATTTTTAAGGACCCTTTTGTCTGCCTCTAGTCACTCATCACCCCAAGGGTAACCACTCTTTAGCCTTCTCATATCATGGCTCAGTCTTGTCTGTGTTTGAACTTTATATAAATAGAATAATACAGTGTTCTTTTTTGTGTTTCTTCTGTTTCTTAACCCTATGTTTATGAGATTTGTCCATATTATTGTGTGCAATTGTAATATGTTAATTTTTATTGATACATAGCATTCCATTATATGAATGTATTTCAATCTATTTGTTCAATTTGTTTATCCATTTATTCAATGAACATTTGGATAATTGCCAGTTTAAAGATATTATGAATAGTACTGCTCTGAGCATTCTAGAGATTTTGTTTTTTGGTAAAGATATATATATATATATATATATATATATACATTTCTTTTGAGTATATACTTAAGCAAAAATTGCAAGGTTATAGTTATGAATATATTCAGATTTAATAGATACTGAGATTTCAGATTTAATAGTACTGGTTTTTATTTCTCCACACCCTCAGATATAATTCAACAATGGGCCAGGAGCAGTGGCTCATGTCTGTAATCCAAGCACTTTGGGAAGCAGCAGCGGGCGAGAATCACTTGAGGCCAGGAGTTTAAGACCACCCTGGGCAACATAGCAAGAACCTGTCTCTACAAAAAAATAAAAAATTTAGCCAGGTGTGGTGATGCAGGCCTGGAGTCCTAGCTACTCAGGAGACTGAGGTGGGAGGATCACTTCAACTCAGGAATTCAAGGCCACAGTGAACTACGATTGCCACTGCACTCTAGCCTGGGCAACAGAGACTCTGTCTCAAAATTAAAAAAAAAAATCAGCAATAATTGGTACTGTCAATCAGTGTTCATTCATTCATCCATTATTAATTCATTAATCTTTGAAATTTTAGCCATTTTGTTGGCAGTGGTATCCTATTATAGAATTAATTTGTGTTTTCCTAATGAATAATGAAGTAGAGGTTTGGGTTTTTTTTCTTTTTTTTTGGTATATATTAGTCAATACTTGTTCAGTTCCACTTTTAGCTTGTGTTTTCAGCTTTTTCTTATTGATTCTAAGAGTTCTTTGTATTTTTTGGAAATAATTCCTTTCTAGGATATTTGTATTCCAAATATTTATTTTATCCTGTAGATTGTCTTTTTTTACCCTTTTAATATCTTCTGATGAATAAAAATTATTAGTCTTAATATAGTCAAATATATTCATGGTAAGCAGCTTTTACATCTGTCTTAGAAATCTTTACTTCCTAGATTAGGAAGATATTTTATGTTTTCTTCTAATAGTGTTATTATTTTACCTTTCATGTTTACAAATCCTATTTATCTGGACTTAATTTTTACAAATGGTGTGAAGTGGGAGTCAGGATTCACTATCTCTACATAGATATCCAATTGACACAGCAAATATTTATTGAAGAAATAATCCATGTTCCATTTCATTGTAGCGTATTGTTTGTAGAAAAAAATATGTAAATGAATTGTTTCTGGGCTTTCTGTTCTATTTCATTGGCTGCTTTGTTTACCCTTGTTCTGATGTCACACTGGCTTTCTTAGTTTTGTAGTTTTTATGATGGGTCTTGATGTTTGGTGTTCTAAGTCCTCCGGCTATATTTTCTTCTTCAAGATTAACTTGTCTCTTCTTGAATCTTTGTATTTTCATATAAATCATAGTATAAGCTTGCCAATTTTCACAAAAATATCTGCTGGAGCTTTTGCAATTGTTTTGATTGAAGAGATTAATTTGGGGATAATTTACATACTTAATGTTGAATCTTCCAATCCATGAACATGATCTATTCCTCCAATTATTTATTTAGCTGCCAGCCCCATCAGGTAGGGGGATTGTCCCACTGCAGAGAGCTTTCTTGCCCAAGGGCATGATGCCCTTTGCAAGAGAGGTACACATCAAATACATGATACCTGAGAGAGTAAAAAGCCCTAGCCCTATCAGCTGTCTCTGAGGTCATATCAGTTCCCTATGGAGTCAGCTGAGGTTGACACTACACCTACATTAAAGCTCAACTTCTTCATCTGTACAATTTTGCTTCCTTCGTTTTCTTTCTTTTTGTCATTGTGGTAAAACATCATGTTGTCTGGGGCTTTAGCAGCAGTTTTATAATTGTAAAAAAGAAACAGAGAAGGAGGAAGAAGGGAGGCAAGGGAGAAGGAGAGAGAATGATCTACAGAGAAGCTAATGCAAAACCCTAACACAATGAGCCACTGCATTATACAATGCTGGGGCCATCTATCTTCAGAAAAGCTGGTAGATAAGATTCGACTAATAAACCCCTGCTGTTTAAGCCACTCTAGTCATTCTATTGTTTGTAATGAAAACATGTCTAACAGAACTAACTTCTACAACAGTTTTATTTCCAACTTCTATGTTTGGACAACAAAAGAAATTTTCAAAATTCTTACTGAAATCAGTCTCATGCTATTTATAATACGCTTGTTCTTCCAATTGAGTTTGCCTTTCAATAAAATTAGAATAGTATGGCTTGGTTTGTTTTCATTGAATTACTGGTTATGATTCCATACCTAATACTTCTTAACTCTTATTTCTGTATATTTTTAAGAAATCAATTTAACAGTTTTTTTTTTTTTTTTTTGAGACAGAGTCTCGCTTTGTTGCCCAGGCTAGAGTGAGTGCCGTGGCGTCGGCCTAGCTCACAGCAACCTCAAACTACTGGGCTCAAGGGATCCTCCTGCCTCAGCCTCCCAAGTAGCTGGGACTACAGGCATGTGCCACCATGCCCGGCTAATTTTTTGTATATATTAGTTGGCCAATTAATTTCTTTCTATTTATAGTAGAGACGGGGTCTTGCTCTTGCTCAGGCTGGTTTCGAACTCCTGACCTCGAGCAATCCGCCCGCCTCGGCCTCCCAGAGAGCTAGGATTACAGGCGTGAGCCACCGCGCCCAGCCAATTTAACAGTTTTTTAAACAAATGTTTCTATATTTATTTCTGTTATTTTCAATATGAGAAAGTTGTTTGGGATCAAAATTCAGATCTGAATTTAACTCAGTGCACTCCTCCTTTTTGAATTAGATCAGTCTGCAGAACATTTGCCAAGGTTTGAGAAATCAGAGAGTAACAGTTTAATTGGTTTCAGTTTGTTCTGGAGGTGGGTGGTCTGTGGAATGCCTACTGTCCTGCATTCCCTCCTCAGCCCTGGGGAGATGGTGCGAAGCTAGGAGAAGCTGAGCCATCAAGTTCACTGTCATATACCCCAGTGATGGGGAGAAGTACCAGACCTGGTGGGGTGGCAGGGGAGCTTAGATTTATGGTGGTTTCTATGAATTATATTTCATGGTGTTAGATTTCATGGTGGTTTCCATTAGGGTTGGGGAAAGGGAAGAAGGGAAGTGAACCAGCTTCCCAGAACTGGC